TTACTAACAAAACCCCAAAAGACATTTAAACTGGAGGTAGATGGAATGGACATTTTCTCTGGCTGCTTGTCAAAGACTGTCCATTGCTGGCTTTTGAATGAAGCTTTGTTTGTTCCTGCATTTTGGGTCTCTTGTGAGTGCCTGTCTCATTGAACTTACCACAACAGAAATACCTGAGACACTTACTTATAATGAGAGATAAAAGGTTTTTATAATAAGAGATAAGAGATAAAAGGTTTTTTACTTATAACGAGAGATAAGAGATAAAAGGTTTTTTCCAGCTTACAGTTTTGGGGGTTCCAAAGCCTTTGCTTTGGCCTTTTGTTAAGGTGCTGGGTGGCAATAGGAAGGAGTATATGAACAATCAAATGTTTTACATTGTGAATCCACAAACAAAGCATGAGGAAGAAGATGAGAGCAGAGTTCTGTAATCCTTTTGGGGGAATGCTGGCAATGACCTTCTAATAGTGCCATTCTGGGGTGAAGCCTTTAACACACGAACCTTGAGCGGATCTTCACCAGCCAAACTATTGCACCTTATTTATCTAGATGACGACCTTTTCTCAGATTGCTGAAGTAGTGGATGCTTGAGATGGGGCTCTTGTATCATTCATTCACATGCTCATTTTTTTTCTTAATTTTATGAGAACTTCTTTAATTTCTTGTCAATAGATGGTTCAGACTCACTTTGTGCCGCTCTTGTCCAGCTCTGGAATCAGATGTCTGTTTCTGTCAGCTTCATGGAGCTGTTTAAAATTTTGCTTTTTTACCTTTAAAACATAGCTCAGACTTGTTCTGCAATTTTGATTTGTTCCCTGTCACTTGATGTACTGTTAAAAAATATTAGAATCCTTTGCACATATTTTTTAACAAATTTGTATCTTGTGTGTGTGCATTTAATATAATCATACTTCATAGGTTTAAAAAGTCAATGCTGAGAGATTTTTACTAGAACTTGCAAATCAGAGATGACTATGCTGGATCAGAATATTTTCTTTTAAAGCATGTTAATAGCAACTAAGGTGCAAATTGCATGGGTAAGATTTACTGAAAGACAGGAACAACTGTAAAGTCTATATTTGTCTGTCCAACATCTGCTGCTTGTTAATCATACACCTATCAATTTGGGTGACACAAATGTCACAAATTCTGCCACAAATGTCAGCAGTAAATACTTGCTTTCAACAGTAATTTTTAAAGTAATTTGCAGTACCAAATGTTGTTTTTTCTTAATCTGATCTTTTCATCATATGATCCAATAACTCCTTTTCAAAATGAACTATTGTATATTCACTGATCAAGAAACATGTTAGATAAGTTACTCTGGTAAGTTTGCAAACACAGTAATAGACTCTGGTGCTAATGGAATAAAACCATAATTACACTAGTATTCTCAGCAGCATCCTCCAAAGCCTTGTCTTAGCATCCTGTGAGCTACCCTGTGTACCTCAGCCACAATAACCTCCTTGCAGTCTCAAAACTTATTGAGCTTCATGTTAAGTTAGAACTTGGGTTTTATGGTCTTTTCCCTGGAGAGTTATTATTATTATTTTTTTGAGATAAAAGTCTCTCTGTGTAGTTCAGGCTGGTTTGAGCTCACCGTGTAGCCCATGATGGCCTCAAATTCATGGCAACTCTCTTGCCTCAGCTTTCTGAGTGCTGGGATTAAAGGTGTGCACCGCCACACCTAGCGCCCTGAAATATTCTTGCCCCATTAGTTTGATTAATTCTCCTCCTCTTCATTTCTCTTAAATGACATTTTCTCAGAGGAGCATTTCCTGATGCCCCAGAATAGGCAAGGTCTCCTACTATATATTCTTAACATGCTGTATTTATCCTTTATAACATTGACTGAAACATAATTAAATAATGGTCTCTGTAGTTACTGATTTAATATGTATCTTCCTACATGCTTGTAAATATTTTTGAAGATTCTCAGTATTAGCTAAATGTTGAATGAGGAACAGGAAGGTGTTATGCCTATTGAGAGCATCTCTTGCTCCAGTGGAGGTTTTAAAAATTGCTGTAGGTGGCATAAAATTGTACATTTTATCCTGTTCAATGTGCTTTTTTGAAGTATCTGTCTATCTATCTACTTATCTATCATCTATCTATCATCTACATCTAATGAAGAAACCCATTATCTCTCACATAGTTATCCAAGGTGTGTTCACTCTAGGGAATGCTCTTGTCTGGAAGAAGGTGACACTGGATGTCCTCAGTATGGGATTTACCAAGGGCGATCCAGCCTCTTTGACATCCCCTTGTTAGAGCAGGTTAGTGACCAGGAACAAGATTGCTTTCTTGTGTCACCAGTGAAAATTATTTTCCCATCTCTTCTCATGGGAAGATGAAACTGTCTCTAGGGCATTTTCTCCTCCCCTCACCCTCAGCTGGATGCTTGCTGAGTCATAGGATTTGTTGTTGCACAGCATGAGAGAAATATTTTTAGGGTAAGGTGTCTAGTGGATTTCTACAGAGCAATCAAAAATCCAATGCTGGAGTAAAGGTGTTAAAGCAATAGTGCAAGTGGAATTTCTTGGGAAAAATATAAAAAGTAAAAAAAAAAAAAGAGAATTTAAAGACTGTGTACCACCCACCTTGAAGGGAAGGACAGAGGAAGGCAGGAAGTGTTCTGAGTGGGAACACCGAAAGGGATGGAGACAGGGGAGCCGTGTGGTATGGAGGGCAATGGGAGGGACTTCCGGGAGCACACGTGTGAGTTTATGATGTTCACAGTTCTTGCCGCAAGATTCTCCTCGATGATGTGGGGGCAGGAAATGCCCTGTGTTAGGCTGCAGTGGGTTACGGACTGGTGGGAGGCAACATGGAAAGAGGAAAAGAACAAGGCCAGGGCTTGGGACAGGAAGCTGGCCACAGCTGTCTGTTTTAAAGAGAGTCTATTTAAAGACTCATGGGAAAGAAATCAAAGAGGGAAAGGTTTGGGAGACAGAAGCAAGGGAGAGGATGTTTGATGGAGGGAAAGGCCCTAAGGGTGGTGTAGGGTCCTGGAGGAAAGGAGGAAGTCAAGGAGGCTCAGCAAGCACGTGGGGAGAAAAAGGATCATGTTCTCATCGGACGGCTTCCATTTCTCTCCAAGTTCGAAGTGAGATGAGGGGCCAGATGCGGCAGTGCATGGCTCAGTACCAGGTACTCCTGAGCCCAGAGGTTGAACTTTTCCATTTTAATGTTTTATTGTGATGTATCTAGGAGAAGAAGATCGAATATCTGTAGAATAAATAATTTTAAAAGGAGCTAAATGCCAACCTATTTCTGCATATTTGCCCTATGGGGGCAGGAAAAAAAAGGTAATGAACAGGTCAACTTTGACTGTGTAACACAAATTTAAAGATATAGCATATTTCAGCAAGGAGAATTACTCTGCCTCTTTCTACATTAACATCAGTTTGGGCCTTGCCACCAACACTAATCTTTTTGTGCCATTTCACCCTAATTGAGATGAGATTCTTAAGATTCCCAGTCTGATCTTTTTCTCTCGGTCCTTCCTCTTTCTGCTTAGAACTGCACGTCCGATTTCAGAGCTCAGGCAAAATCCTGTATCCTGCCATTTAGCTGGCTAGTTACATTAATCACTTTGTTACCCTTACTTGGGCCAACAGCAGTCTCTTGAAAAGGAGTGCTTTTCTTGTTTGTTGTTTGGTTTTGTTTCTCTTGCTGTGATCGGTTCCATCTTCGGCTGCCTGGCCTCATGGCCTGGGACAGTCTATGCCCCCATGCTCCAGGCATCTGCTGTGGGAGACTGTGGCTCTACAGGGGGCTTTGCTTTCAATTACCAAGGTGGACAGGGGGCCCCCACCTGTTTATCCCTGTGGATGAAACAGCATTGTCTCTTGAGGAAATCTTGGTATTTAAACTCTGAGGAAATACGTTTGTCACTGAGAGAATGAGATAGAGAGAGAGAGAAACAGAGAGAGAGACAGAGACAGAGACAGAGACTGAGACAGAACAAATTCCTATCTCTGTCTCCCAAGCCCCTATTTCTTCCCTTCTCTCCCTCTCTGTTCCCCACCTGAGCTGAGTGGCTCTACTGTCTCAATCTCTCCCCGCAAACCCCCCACTTCCAGTGAAAATGCTCATCTCCCTTGTCCAAACTGAACTCCCACCTATGCCCACACATCCTGTGTTTTAAATCTCTGTGTTTTAAATTGTTTCCATATACTAGCCCATGTAAAGGAGAGAAAGATTTAGATTTTTTAAAACTAGATTTCTCGGACTTTGCTACTTTACTTGAATTAACCAGATGATCATTCATATTAGTGTTGTGCTTGATGATATAGATTCTGACATTTTATGAGGCACTTTCAACTTGTTTTCATTTTCAGGGTTTTCTGGGAACTCTGATGTCCCTGATTTTACTCCTGACTTATATAGGTTGTAAAACAATATTTATGGGAAGTAGTTTGAATACTGTTGACCATTACTTTGGGGGACTTTTAGTGAGAAAGAAACTCCACTGTTTCAGTTTTCAGTGAGGAAGAGAGCTTCCTTGGTGTGGTTTTCTGGGTTCTAGAGTACTTGTGTCTCCCAGGAGCTGCATATGCTTCCTGTTCATAGGGCCAATTTGAATTTGGAATTCTCCCACTTCCCAGCCTGTGTGGTCTAGAAATTGGCCTTCTAGTGAGGCTCTCAAGCTAGGGAGCAAGCAGAGCATTGCCCCACCATCATCATCTGCAACTGATCTGCGTGCTTGAACTCCAGCCCTCGGCTCCTGACTGGCTCATCATGTGTCCGATCAAGGAACATTTGAAGGGACGGTGATCACTAGAAATGTTCTACCATGTTCCCTACTTCAGAAACAAAATGAGAAGCAAGGCTTCAAAATTACTTTACACTGCTCACTGCCTAGTTTTATTTAAAATATGTGAAAGTAGATACGTACTATATCTGTGCGAAGTGTTTACTCCCAAAATTGCTTCAGTATATAACCAATACAAAATTATTAACGACCTATTTTATATTCTTTTTGTTTTTTGGCAGTAGGCCTTCAAAAATCTGTGCCTTTCCAGCCATCATACCTCAGTGAAAGGAGTCACTGGTGAGGAGGTAATATGCTATTTTTGACAACCCTTAGGCTGTAACTACTTATTAGAACCTTCTTGCATATCTCTGTCTTCCTGAGAAACCACTTTGAAGATACCACCACATATTACAGCAGCCATTGATATTTTCCTACTAATCTATCCATAACAGTGTTAAGTTTGTAATGTTCCTATCCTATTTCATAATGTATGTTTATTATTATATGTTTCCTACAACAACCATTGAGAATAGTTAATGATTTTTCAATAGGTCACTCATGTATAGCTCTATTTATTTTCTTTAGAAGCCACTTTGAAGATACCAAAGAATAGCACAACAACTCTTGTTAATCTCCTACCTCTTTTGTCTCTAACTCACTATTATTTGTCTATTTGTTTTCCTGAGAAACTATTTTGTAGATAATAATACGTAAAATGATAACCATTGATAATTTCCTACCATTTTGTCAGTAATTTGCTAAGTCCCCCCTATTATTATGTTATCCTTCTTTTATTCTTTAAAATAAAAAAAAAATCTGTGCCTATTTTAGACTTACACACATCATGAAAGACATGAAAAATGAAGACATGGGAAAAATAAGTATTATGGAGTGTATTACTATTATGTTTAACCTGATTATATGATTTATCACACCATCTTCTATTAATTAAACACTGAAATGTAATTAATTGAATTCAGTCAACTTTGGTGTTTACAGACTTTCAGGCATATATAAGCTACAGTTTTACACATGTTTTGTCATGTTGTTGCTTTGAAGGTAGGTGACATATGGGAAGATTGCCCCCATTTGTATGTTTGCTAAAGTTCCACAAATGTTAACATTTAGACGGTTCACTTTCTCTTCACTATGTGACCAGGTACACTTGGAGTGGAGAATCCCTGGGATCCGTAGAACACCTCCACCCTCCAGCCTTGCTCTGGGTTTCTTATTCCTAAACTTCTTCCCAATTCTCTCCATGATTCTCCTCAACCTTTTCCCTTTCAGTCAAATGAACATTTATAAATGAGTACATTTTCCTGTTATCGACAGGGCTTTCTCACGTCATCAACTTGATATAAAACAAATTCTATGAAATAGGCAGTAGCATCAAGGAAACAGAAAGATGAAGAGATGTGACTAAAGTAATGTAGGGCATCCCATTCTGAGTCCTTGCTTTTACCTTTGCTTTGTTGCTTCACACTGGGCGTGATTCAGGTGGACGGAACAAAGAAGTAGGAAAGAGCAGTTCAGTTTGGCCCAAGTCCACGGTCCAGAATGCAGGGAGCAGTGTGCATTCTGAGGCTGTACTGTGGCAGCCTTGAGTTGCAGTTTTGGGATTCTGCCCCTTACTCTGACAACTGAGTGTTATGTTATTTAGAGATAGTAATTGAACCAAAGAAACCTTATTTGATAATGAAAATGTGGTTGGTTTGCTCTCCTGAGTAGAAGCAGAAAGAGAGATAAACAGATCAACCTGCACCTGCCAACGATAAGCTCCTGCTGCCCACTCCTTCCTCTCCCTCGCCAGTGCGGGAGGGAAGCACTTAATCCCAGCCAGCCCATCCCTTGGTGCGCGCTGAGGTTGCCATGATCTCACAGGATGGGCGAATGAGTTCTAACTTCACCACCATTTTTCAGCCACATGCCCAGTGGAAGATGGATGAGTCCTATCTTTGTACACTAAAGGTAAGGCATCTATTTTTATAATTTGAATATAGTACTTTTACAGATTCCACTTTTCAAAAACAAATTATAACTCTATGTTTAGATTGTGGTATTAAATCCTCAACTCAGCTGTCAGAAAACTCCCCCTGAAATGTATAAGATCGTGCCATTTCTTCATTTAAAGCCCATCAATGGGTTTCTGTTTTTCTAGGAGTGAAAGCTAAGTTCTTTAGAGGCTCTAGAAGGCCCGACATAACCTGGTGTCCTCTTGCCTTTCTAGACTATTTTCTGTTTCAGCCTCTCTTGCTCACTCTTCTCACACCACACTGGCACCTGTGCTATTCCTCTAGCACATGAGGCGCACTAGTACCTCAGGACATTGGCACTTGCTGTGCTCTCTGTTTAGCACACTCTTTCCCTAGATACCTATAGAGTCATCTGGGGTCACATCCCAACAAATCCATTGCAAGTTTAAAATATCACAAGTTAAAAATGATTTTTATATGCTCAACCTGCTAAACATCATACATTAGCCTAGCCTAGCTTAAATGTGCTCAGATATTTACATTAGTCTACAGTGGGACAAAATCATCCAATGTACCTGTTTATCACAAAGTTTTGAATGTCTCAGATAATTTATTGAATACTACATTGAAAGTAAAAGAGAAAATAGCTGAGGGGCACACTTTTCGACCCTCATAAAGTCACAAAATCCTAGGTCAAACCATTATAAATTGTAGATTCTACATATTTAATCTGCAATATGACAGTATTGTTATGCTTACTGGCCTGCTAATTTCTGAAGTGGTTCTTTCCTAGGCAGGTTTTCATTGATGTGATGCAAAATCTGGGCAAAGCAACTTAGAGGAGGAGAGATTCAGTTTTGATCACAGTGTCAGAGAGTTCAGTCCATGGTCACTTGACTCTGCTGTTCCTGATGATGCTGAGGGGAGCACATGGCCGAGCAAAGCTGCTCACTTCGTGGTGGCTGGGAAGCAGCGAGAAAGAGAAAGGGAAAGAGACCAAAATGAAAGGGCTAAGGACAAAATATACCCCTCAAAGCCACATCCCCGGACACCTGCTTCATCCAATTAGCAACTGCTTTCTAATAAGTTCTTGGAGCTATGAATACTTAGGTGGATTAAACCACTGATGAAGTTAGAACCCTCTTGAGCCAATCACTTCCTGAAAGCCCCACCTCTGAACACTGTTGCATTGGGAACCAAGCCCCCAGGATGTGAACCCTGGGGATATCCAAGCCACATATCCAAGCCACAACAGATTCAAAGTATCTATATCCATTTCTGCACCTATCTATATCTATATATATTCTTTCAATAACCGATCTCAGTACTTGAAGGTGAAGGTTTGTGGTTTGCATAGTTAAAGCCTCAATAAATACAGCCTGACTTGTGGCAGTGATGACTGTCATTAAATCATGGGAGTGCACTGATGCCACAGAAATTATAGTCATAGTCCATGATGCTGTGGTGTGAATGCATCCCCCAAAGTCTGCGTAATCACATGACACTGTTGAGAGTGGGATCTGCAGGAAGTGATGAGGCCATGAGGGCTCTGCCCCCAGGAATGGACAAATGCCGTGCCTGCAGGGGTGCATTAGGGATCTCAGGAGCAATTGCTGGTAAAAGAATGAGTTTGACGCACTCCCCCCACTTTGGCTCATGCCCTCCCTTTTCCTTTTACTTTCTGTCATGGAAAGATGCAGTGAGGAAGATGAACCCAGGTGCCAGTACCTTGATGTTGGACTGCCCAGCTCCAGGTTAGTGAGAAATGAATTTTCATTGCTGATGAATTACCAGTCTGTGCCATTCTGTCATAACAGCACAAAAGGACTAGGCAGTTATCCAAGGACTATGACAGTTATCCAAGAATCACACAACAGCAAATAAATCTTGCATATCCTTAAACCAAACTATAAAGGAAAAGGAAATAGGGGAGACATGGTAAGAAGCAGGGAGGTCACTCTGGAGATGGCGTAATGGACGAAGGATAGAGGGACGGAGGAAAGTAAAAGGGTGAAGGCACTGAAAATGATCAAGATAGAAGTTTTTATATATAACAATTCCTCAAGTCAAATGTTATTACTATGTACCACAAATATATACCAATAAAAAGTAAATGAATAAATAAAATATACCTCCATTCCATTAAAACAAAAAGAAATATGGAATCAAAGATTGAAAGGAAAGAAGTAACTGACAGGGCATCTTTGTAGTATAATGCCTCAGTGTTTAGCTCTAATTCTTTCAACATATTCAGAGCACTGTTTAATTTTATCCTTCTTGATTCCTCTTCTTTCTACATATTGTTATAAAGATACTGGATATAGTATTCACAAGAACAATTTATCAGTTCTTTCATATTCAAAGTCTCCTGCTGCTTAACTGACAGAATTTTAGAAGATGGGCCAAGGTGTTTTGAAAAAGCATACTTGTAGTTTAGGCCTTTATCATGTCACTTCATAAAGATAGAAGATGACTATTTCTGCTCTGATCTAGAAAAGAAAGCCAAGTAGGGCATGTTCACTAAGCCAAGATCCAACCAATGCATGAGTCTGGAAGCCTCACCCCATAGAATCAAAACCAGTGTCACTGCCGTACCGTTCACTTCTCTGAGTCACACCTCTACCAGTTTCCTGGATGGCTCAAGAATTTTAAGAAACAGGACTCTTCCTCAGAAAATGTTCCAGGCCCTTAACTCCAGAGACTAATTGTTAGAGATGATAATGATTCAAGTTTCTTATCGAAAAAAAAATGGATCTTACATTTCTGGATATGACTAGGCATATGACTCAATATCCCTTTGCTGCTGTGCAACAAAACTTGATAATTGTGTAGAGTTTTTGATATCTCAATGATACCTATAGCATTTTCCCGGACTAGTGGATTGGATGTTCTTCCATCATAGTGCGGCAGTCTTAGTTTCCTGAGCATAAGCTACTTAGAAATACAAATACTTCCAACTCATCTACCTTGGTACAGTCTACGGTTGTTTCCTTCAAAGATACAATTCCTACAAAGTTCTAAAACTCTATACTTAGTCCTAAAACTCTTTCTCTCAGTTTTTTTTTTTAGCTATGCATTGCTTTGCTCAGTGAAGCATAAACACTTTGTCCCTACCACTATATCCTGGCCAGAGTCTCCCCTGCAGGCAAGCCGGTCCAGTCCCTGCTGGCATTCCAGTGGAGGCCTCAAGAATTCCCACTGTGATGCTTCTGCCAGTAAACTTCTCCCACACATGGCGTGACCTGTGTTCCTTGGTCCACTCAAATCTAGCATCTTTCACCAATGCTTCTTGGTCAGGCAGTGCTCTGAAGTCTGATCTTCTAGACATTCTATTCCCTGAAATACTCAAAATCATGTGTTTGGTATTAGTTCTTATTCCTTTTTTTCCCCCTTCAGATCTTATTTTTAACAGCAGTAAAATTTCTTGCAAGTACAGTTGCTAAGTCCCAGCTTCTTCATCCTCTGAATGGTGGCAATAACACCAAATTCAAGGAGTTGTTGTGAGTGTCAAACTTTGTAAACTAAAAAGGCTATAGTGATTTTAGGTGTACCATTACAATCTCTGTTCACAGCACAACTGTGTACTTTTTATATTACTTACCATTTTGTGTCTGAATAGCTTATGTCTCTATCTATACCCTCACAATTTTTAAAGTGAAGTTCTTTCCTCAATACACCTAACCAAAAGGCCTTTCTACTCTATATAATAAAGTATTTGTCATTTGATGGGTTGCATTTGATTCAGTGATGAATTGCTTCTAGTTTACCTCATGCTTGACATCATATTCATTGGTTGGTCCAGTGTGAGGATGGCTCCTAATTCTTGTTATCATTGTCAGTTATAGGTAGGAACTGAAGCCCTTTAAAACACAGCCATTGTGACAAAAAGAAGCAATGTTCTATATATTAAGAAAAAACCATGCGCTCCTCCTTTTTGTCTGCTGGAAATCAAATGCCAACTGTTCTGCATTTTCACTTTTAAAAGTTAGGAAGCAGCTGTGAGCCTTTCTGAGATTGACTATATATCAAAATGTGTGACTTAGATTGGTACTTTCAAACAGCTGTAAACTGGGTAATCTGAAGATATCCAGAAAGAAACAGGACTTTGTTTTAGGGACCTACTTTTTTTAGATCTGGAAATCACTGGACATCAGGGACGGCTTTGAGACCTGGGTGAACGTAGTCTCCAGGGTCTGTGTTAGTAGGTATCTAGGGCAAACCTGGCCATCGGGAGCAAGCAAGACAAGTCTGTAATTCAATGAGCTAGAGTATTCAGAAAGTGGCTTCTCTGAGTAACTTGTTTCTCTACGTGGGCATAAAAGTGTCGCCAATGCTCATTAAGGTGTTCCTGCAGTTGAAGGCACCTGAAGGATTTCTTCTTGTCTTGCCTTGGGTACCTGCTAGTTATTGGGGATGGCTCACTGTACCCCGATGAGGAAAGAGAGAGCTGGGCTCTCCCTAAAAAGGAGAAAACAACATTTTAACTTTATCTGGAAACTGGGCAACCATGTGTGTCAGTAAATTGATCTCGTGTAGAGGAAAAACAAGTTTATTTTTATGACAGAAGCTGGATTTGCAATTTAGAGCCAAGTGATCACTGGAGTTAGATTCCTGCCCTTCCACAGAAGCTCACAAGGAAATGCAGATCTCCTGAGATATGCACATTTCCAGGAGATAATTCTCAGGTTTTGAGAGGCCTATTTAGTGTGGAGAAGGACGTACACACTTGAGAGAGGAGAAACACAAGTTTTCTGAAGTCAGTGTCTGGAGACAAAGAAGAGAAGCAAAATTTATTTTCAACTGAGATATAAAAATAAGTCTCTTATTTTTAAATTTTATGTGACCTTAACAGAATCTACAGAAAAGTCAAGAAAACTCCATCATTTCTATACTTAGATGTCCTACTGGCCTTTCGGTATCTTTCCTTCTATTTTGTAGATCATTTTGTTAACAATGGTAGGTCCAGGGGGCATCCTTTCCAGATTCCTGGTGTCCTGAACAAAGAATTGGACAAGACCCATGAAAAGGGACTCAACATGTGAATTTATTGAAGGTGGAAAAGATGCACATGCTAACCGGAGGGAGCAGGCTGGTGAACAGGCTCACAGAGGCCCTGAATCCGAAGTTCCGGGGGTTGTCTTTTCCCTCATGCAAATAAGGCGTTGGATCCACAGTCCTGTCAAAATCTCTTTTGACCTGTCAGATTTCAACCGCCCCCTCAGAAGAGTGGCTGCGCTTTCCACCAGCTGTAAATGAAGGAGGGAAGAGAGCGCTTTTCTGACTGGTCCTGTGAACAGCACCGGATTCAAAGGAAGGGCTGAAAATACCGCTGTCTGATTGGCTGCAGGTACAGTGAGCAGGGGGTAAGGTTCCTTTCTCCCTGTAATCAGTTAGCAGCTTACCTGTGCGTGTCTCACATTCTGGGTTAATGTTTACTCAATAATAAGAGCATTTTCTATTACTAGATGAGGAGGATTTCTGGGTTAGGAGATTTTGATTTTCATTATATTTACAATGTAAATATTTCAAAATTATATAATATTTATTTTGCTTGTAATGGAAAATATACTATTAGGATCTATTTTCATAATTTTGTGTCTTCTTGTTTACAGTTAGCAATCACTTTATTGCTTTGTCTTATTCAATATGCTCCATTTTGCTCCAAATTCTTTTTGACTTGACACTTCTAATTTTTCTTTTGAGCTGTACATGGTAGGATTTTAAGCCTGGAAAATGGGTTACAGCATTCATCCATAAGTAGACGGTCCACTAGTTTCCTGCAGAACTCCAGTTAAACCATCCTTGATTTTCAAAGTGATCGTTTTATCATTGGTTCTGGTTGGCTCTTCCTTTGGCTTCTGCTTTCTAGTTTTAAAATCTTTTTAAAAATCTTGTTTTACTTTGTCCTCTGATGTTCTGGTGAGGGTTTTGAGCTGCATTTTATAGACGATTCGTCATGTAATTTAACGTCCAAACTAGAAGACTTTGGAGAGTGGAATGTGGGGTTAATAATTATGGAAAAGTCATGCTCCAACCAGGACCATTTCAGGTAAAAGGGGATGCTTGTACGGTTTACAGGTAAAATACAGAAACCAACTTAGAGTTTCAGATTTTTAAAAAATGTATTCAGGGTAGAATTTTACCATGCCAATCTTACAGTTTGCAGCTATGAGAAAAAAATGTGTACTATGCTCAAGTCAAAAGAATCTGGTATGGGGAATGTCTATGACATACAGTAGTGTTTATTGGTTAGTAACCAGTTGATTTACTGATTGTTAGCCCAAAAAGAGTTAGATAGGTAGGTAAGTATATAGCTATTTAAACACAAAACTTGGGTATACTAAAATTTTTTATTTAATAAAATCTCAAATCTCACTGAACATCATGTATTTTTAATTGTTAAATTTGGCAGTCTAAGATGTGTGCTCATCATAATTATTGTTATCAGAATTATTTTCCTCAAGGATGGTAATTTCTTCATGAGTAGAGTGAATTACTCACCATTTGCAGTATAGTACTTAAAGTCAAGTCATAAATACAATGAAACTAGCAAACAATGCCTACATAATTTAGATGAATAAAAATACATTTATTGGTAAGATAAAAAAGATATTTCCCTTTCAATTTTTGACTGTTTAGTATGATGTTAGCCATTGGTTTATCATGGATGCTTTGATCAGTTTGAGGTAAAAGCCATCTATTTCTATTTTCTGTAGGGTTTTTATCATGAATGAATGTTGGACTCTATCTAAGGCTTTTTCTGCATTGATGGAGATGATCATGTGATTTTTGTCTTTGGCTCTATTGACTTGGTGTATTACATTAATTGATTTGTGTATATTGAACCATCCCTGTATTCCTGGGATGAATCCCACTGGGTCATGGTGTATAATCTTCTTGATGATTTGTTGTATTCTGTTTGCTAGTGTTTTATTGAGAATTTTTGCATCTATCCTCATTAGGGAGATTGGCCTGTAGTTTTCTTTCTTGGTTGGGTCTTTTTCTGGTTTTGGTATGAGGATAATACTTGTCTCCAAGAATGAGTTGGGGAGAATTCCTTCCCTTTCAATTTCATTATAGAGTTTGAGAAGAATTGGTGTTAAATCTTCTCTAAATTTCTTGTAGAATTCAGCTATGAAACCATATCATAAGTGAAATAAATCGGACCCACATGTGTAAACATCATATTATCTCCTTGGTGTAGGAACCTGAAAGAATAAGTAAAACGCAAAACATACAATAGATGATAGGAAAGGGAAAGAAACTGCACAAAGGAAGGAATGACTGGGATGAGGGAAAGAAGAAAAAAGAAAGAAGGAAGGCAAGATATAAATGTACTAAGAATAGCTGCAATAACTGTATTGCTGATGTCTGATG